GCTTCACCCATCAGCCCCCACAACTTCCTCCTTTCTGCCAGTTTCCCCCACCCCACCCTGTTACCATGGTTACATACACAGGCGCTGCCTGGCAACCACAGTGTTTCAAGGCAGCCCTGCCCCAAAGCCATAGTAACCTCCTGGCAAACCTCTGCTTCTGGCTGTCCCCTGGGGAAGCACGCTTCCCTCTTGGCACAGGTGCTGGTTTGCGTAAGATCTGAGGACTCCCAAGAGCCTGCCTTCCCTACTGGCCCCAGAAACCAGGAGGAGGATTTGCTCTGCTGTACTCCTCTTTTCTGTTCCTATTAGTCTGACCTAATTAATGCCCAGTTCTGCAAATCCACCCCTCCCTCCAGCAGCGCGCCCTCAGCGGCCTGTTCTCCTCTAGGCCAAGGTCTAGGGTGGGTGGGGTTTGAATCTTCCTCGCCGGGGAGTTGCTCACTCTACGAAGGTGTATTAGTGAGGTTCTGTGTCGGAGGCTGTGCTAGGGGCTCAGACTCGAGATGACACAGCCATGTCACAAGGACTGATGAACCAGTCAGGGATACACAGGGCTCATCCCTGTGCTGGTGAGGGTGGGAGCCCTGGCTTCCGCGGCGAGATGCATTGACTGCAGGAAGGGGCCACCTTGATGGCGTTGTGAGGAACCAGAAGGCGTTCCAGTTGACAGGGAACTGCAGCGTGACTAACTTAGGGCCTTAGTGACGACAGGGAGCTTCAAGGAGCTTCCTGTGGCTGAGGAGGAGCTGCTGGGTGAGCAGTCACGGAAGGGCAGAGTGGTAGCTGGCTGCTCACAGTCCCCTGGACCTGGCAGATCTGCAGAGGCGGATGCATAGGCTCTGGATGTTCCCAGCCAGGCTTCACACCCCCCACCCACCAAAAAAAGCCACCCCTAATCAGACACAGTCATGGTGCCTGTAATCCCAGCTCCTCAAGACACTGAGGCAGGAGGGTCACAAGTTCAAGACCAGCTTCAGCAACTTAGTAAAACCCTGTCTCAAAAGAAAATGAAAAATAGGGGGTGGGGCTGGGGATGTAGCTCAGTGGTAGAGTACTTACCTGGCATGTACTAGGCCCCAGGTTCAACCCCTAGTGCTGGGGATAAAACGAAAAAAACAAAACAAGAAAAGCAAAGCCAGGCACAGTGGCACAACCCTGTAATCCCAGCAGCTCAGGAGGGTGAGGCAGGAGGAACACAAGTTCCAAGGCAGCTTCAGCAGCTTAGCGAGGCTCTCAGTAACTTAGTGAGACCCTGTCTCTAAATAAAAGTACAAAAGAGGACTGGGGATGTGGCTCGGTGATTGAGCGGTGGTTGAGCGCCCCTGGGTTCAATCCCCTGTACTAAAAAAAGAGAAAGAAAAGCAAAAAGCCACCCAGCCTCTCCCCTTCCATCCTGACTTCTCCATCCCACCAAAATTCTGGTCAGGTTGCACTCAGCATGTGCACGCGGTAGCCCCCTCCCTGGGTCTCCCTAGGGCAACGTCTGTTCCCCATCTTCTCATTGCCTCCCCCCCCCCTGCCGCCCCTGTAGAGGCCCCCTCCCTGGGCTCCGCCCCAGCTGTGAGAGGAGCTGCTGGAGGAGGAGTGGGAGGTCCATTGCTGGGGGTGAGAGGAGGGCTGTGTTTCTTTTTAGCTCCTGGAAAACCTCTCCCAGAATCCTTGTTGGTGAATTTGGAGCCCGACCCCACATTATGTAGATCGTAGCCAACTTTTTCTTCTATCAGACGGCGTGTCTCTGATTTGATATCAAGCTCCTTGATCCATTTTGAATTCACCCATAGCACAAAAGTTAATAAATAGAATCAACAAATGGGACTTACTCAAACTAAAAAGTTTTTTCTCAGCAAAAGATACAATAAGAGAGGTAAATAGGGAGCCTGCATCCTGGGAACAAATCTTTACTCCTCACACTTCAGATAGAGCCCTAATATCCAGAGTATACAAAGAACTCAAAAAATTAGACAATAAGAGAACAAACAACCCAATCAACAAATGGGCCAAGGACCTGAACAGACACTTCTCAGAGGAGGACATACAATCAATCAACAAGTACATGAAAAAATGCTCACCATCTCTAGCAGTCAGAGAAATGCAAATCAAAACCACCCTAAGATACCATCTCACTCCAGTAAGATTGGCAGCCATTATGAAGTCAAACAACAACAAGTGCTGGCGAGGATGTGGGGAAAAGGGTACACTTGTACATTGCTGGTGGGACTGCAAATTGGTGCAGCCAATTTGGAAAGCAGTATGGAGATTTCTTGGAAAGCTGGGAATGGAGCCACCATTTGACCCAGCTATTCCCCTTCTTGGTCTATTCCCTAAAGACCTAAAAAGAGCATGCTACAGGGACACTGCTACATCGATGTTCATAGCAGCACAATTCACAATAGCTAGACTGTGGAACCAACCTAGATGCCCTTCAATGGATGAATGGATAAAAAAAATGTGGCATTTATACACAATGGAGTATTACTCTGCATTAAAAAATGACAAAATCATAGAATTTACAGGGAAATGGATGGCATTAGAGCAGATTATGCTAAGTGAAGCTAGCCAATCCCTAAAAAACAAATGCCAAATGTCTTCTTTGATATAAGGAGAGTAACTAAGAACAGAGTAGGGTCGAAGAGCATGAGAAGAAGATTAACATTAAACAGGGATGAGAGGTGGGAGGGAAAGGGAGAGAGAAGGGAAAATGCATGGAAATGGAAGGAGACCCTCAGGGTTATACAAAAGTACATACAAGAGGAAGTGAGGGGAAGGGGAAAAATAATATAAGGGGGAGAAATGTATGACAGTAGAGGGAGCAGAGAGAGAAGAGGGGAGGGGAGGGGAGGGGGGATAGTAGAGGATAGGAAAGGCAGCAGAACACAACAGACACTAGTATGGCAATATGTAAATCAATGGATGTGTAACTGATGTGATTCTGCAATCTGTATATGGGGTAAAAATGGGAGCTCATAACCCACTTGAATCAAATTGTGAAATATGATATATCAAGAACTATGTAATGTTTTGAACAGCCAACAATAAAAAATTTAAAAAAAAAAAAAAAAAAGAATCCTTGTTGGTGGCTGCTGTCACAGGGAGGGAGGGGGTTTCTTGGCCCTTTCCTTCCCCACCCTATCTCCTGATCAGTTCTTATTAACCGGGCTGGCTCCAGTGACCAGCCTGTCTGGGGAATTCCTGGCATTCCATACTCTCCTAGGCATTTTCTGCTGGGCCCCATGTCCCTAGGGAAATGGACAACTCTCACTGAATTTGGCTTGACGGGCAGCCGTCAGCACCCCTAGGCACTTGTCTGTCCCCCTGCTGGAAATGCCCCCGTGAATGAGCTGCCTCCTTGGGGCTGGGACTTATGTTGGCTTCCAGGGGCCTCCAGGAGAGCACACTTCAGCCCAGCATGCCAGTCATGGCCGGAACCAGCAGGCCATGGGGTTTCTGTCTCCCCAGCCACTTGCTCCTGGGAGCCTCAGCTCTGGATCTGAAGGAGTGAGAGGCAGGACCACCTGGGGGTGGGAGGGCCCTGTGGATCTGATGAGGGAGGCCCCGGAGGAGGTTTCGGGGCCTGGAGCTCCTTCCTGTTCTGTCAGGAAGGTGAATCCTTGTTCTTGAGGTGGGGGTGGGGGGCAGACAATGGGAGGGAGATGCTGGACAGGACAGAGATCCCTTTGGCATAGAGGAGAGGGCCAGCGAAGAAGGCTGGGAGCAGCCTGCAGGAGCTTCTGGCCAGAGCTCAGCTTTGCATGCATGTGTCTGTGGTGGGGGACACGTGGGGTGGACGTCATTTCAGACCCCAGAATGTCCTCAGCCTAAGTCCGTGCCCTGTTGCTGCTCAGAGCCCCCAGTGACTGTGACTGTTTAGCTGGTCCCTTTCCACCCTCTCATCTGCCCCTGGGTGTGGAGGTGGGCAGGATGTGGGACCACATGCCCGAGACCACAGAAGAAGAATCCCCCCTCCTTGATGGGGTTTCAGGCCTGGTGACAAGGAATGCCTTCTGAATTCACTGAACCACGGATTCAAAACACACTTTCCCTCCTCCCCTCCTGGGCAGCCATCTGGCAATGCCAGGAGCCACTGAAATCTGCAGGCTGGAGGCCAGCAGCAGAGCCCTTGGTGTGGGGAAGCTCACTCTGGGGTGGGACCAGAGGAGCCAGGGGTCTTCTGGACTAGACACAGGAGAGATAGGAAGAGGTGGGGTTGGAGAGGGGAGAAGATGATATTGAGGGGCCACAGCCCCTAACTCTCCTCCCAGGAGGGGGAGCAGCAGAGCCCCCACACCCAAACTGGGTGGTCCCCATGTTATCTGAAGCTCATGCTATGATTGGGGAGAATTGCAAATTCTAGGCTCCATACTCATCAACGCCAGTGCTGTGAAAGAGAGGCTGAGGGACTCTTCCAGATGAAAGGAGGCTAATGGGCATGGCACCTGGGCATGGTCCAGGACTGGATCCTGAATTGAGAAGAAGTAAACTCGTACAAAGGACAGTGGCTAAGTGTAACAATGGGTGCATTGAGATGACAGCTGTATGGTTGTGGCACTTTTTTTTTTTTTTATACTGGGGATTGAACCCAGGGGCGCTTAACCACTGATATATCCCCAACCCATTTTACTTGTTATTCAGAGACAGGGTCTCGCCATAGTGCTTTTGCTTGCTAATTTACTGAGGCTGGCTTTGAACTTGCGATCCACCTGCCTCAGCCTCCTGAGCTGCGGGATTACAGGCATGTGCCATCGCGCCTGGCTATAGGTTTGAATTTTTGCAGAACTGCAGATTGCATCCCAGTCCCACCTGGGACTAAGGTGGCATTTCTCTATCTTTGGACCCCTTCATGGGAGTGGGACAAGGTCGCTTCTGGGAGTATGGCTATTTGCTTGGCCTGGGGTGGTGACAAAAGGTGATGGTGCTTGGGCCTGCAAGGTGGGGACCCTGTGGGGACAAGCACCTGCTTATCTTCTGTCCTTACTCATTCCCAAACCACATTCCATCCACAGGCAACTCGGGACGTGGTGCTGAGCCGGGCCCCTGAGCAGGCAGAGGACCGGATGGTGAGCCTACGGAATGCTGCGGCCATCTATGACCTCCTGAGCATCACGCTGGGCAGGAGGGGGCAGTACGACATGCTCTCTGAGGTACGGCTGCCCATGCAGCCCACTGCACTCCCGGAGTCAGACAGTACATCAGGAAATCTGATGATGCCATCGTTTATATCCACCCCACCCCCACTTGTCACTCTCCTGCCAGGCTGCTGTGCCATTTTTAGCCCTGTGACCTTGGCAAGTCCTATCAACCCCAGCTTCCTCATCTGTGAAATGGGGGTTGTTGGGGAGAATAAATGAGTTCGTGCATGTAAAAAGATATGAATACTGTCATACATAATAAAAACAGCTGTTATTTTTATTGAATGTATACATTTTGAAGGCATTTTTTGCAAATTTTATTTTATTTGCTCTTCATCATGGCCCTGTGAAATCATTCACAGGTTATGGAAATGGGAACCAAGGACCAGAGAGGTTGAGATACTTTGTAGGGTCACATAGCATGCCAGTTTCCCCTGGCTTTCCTACAGGAACCAAGTACAGGCCTCCTGCAGCCTCCCAAAGGCAGTGACCTTGAGTAGTGGTTACCCTGGAAGTGGGTGGAAAGGGGAGAGGACAGTGATGGAGAAATGCTGACCATCTCCCCCTCCCCAGTGCCTGGAACGAGCCATGAAGTTTGCGTTTGGAGAATTTCACCTTTGGTACCAAGTGGCCCTCTCCATGGTGGCTTGTGGGAAGGTAAGGCCCAGGGATGCTGGGCACTGCACAGGAGCTCTGTGTTCCTCTGGTCCCTGCCAGAGGTGGAGAGCTGGGGAGCTTCTCTGGAGCCAGGTGCACAGGGAGGAGGTGGGTGGTTGGGAACTGTTCTCCAGCAACTGTCTGAATCTCCAGGAGTGTGGGTGGGGAGGACAGATAAGGGCCTTGAGTGACTCCCACATCCACCTGCAAGTCACAGTGTGCCTCTTCTGCATGCAGGTGTGAGTCGGCTGCTTTTCTGAGTGTGGTGTGTGGGGGCATCGCGGCACTTGTGCTGGTGACTTGGGCATGACTGTGTGGGATGGGCGTGGGGTGTGGCTCCAGGTGAGGGGAACCGTTCCAGCCCACTGGGCGAGGCATCAGGAAAGGGCCTGCCTGCCAGTTGGGAACTTGCCTAGGAGAAAAGATGGGAGGGTGAGTGGAGCAGGGCCCCATAGGGAGCCCCGAGGGAGAAGTGTGTGGTCCATGTGGCCAGGAGAGCTGGTGGGCGGGGAGAGGCTGCCCGGAGCAAGGGGCACTGGGGCGGACACTCGGCCCCCCCGTGCACCCAGCCCCCGTGCCAGCACTCCTCATTTTTCCTCCGATCAGAATTACACTTATATAAGCTTCTATTTTAAGCAGTGACATGAAAGGAAAACCTTTCCGGAGATGGGTGCTGAGGGTGTTGGGGCTGAGGATGCTACAAATGCAGGAAGTAAGGTGGCATGAGTCGCAGATGGTTCCAGGAGCTCTAAATACCCAGAGCCCTTTCATGGGGCTGAGGGAATCCCTCGCCCCCCGGCCCATCTGTGCCGTGTTCCATTTCTAGCCCCGTGGCTGTCTCCGAGGAGGGCCCTCCCAGCGTGCCAGCACCGCCTCCACCAATGGAGGGGTGCCAGGCATCTCTGGGCCTCAGGAGAGAGGCCGCCAGGACCTGGCAGGGAGGGGGAAGGAGACCAGGCGCCACGGCCTGGCGCATGGGGTGAGGCTGGAGGCACAGCCCAGGTCAGTGCTGGATGTCATCCTCCTAGCCCTCCCCACAGGGGCCAGAGCATCTTGAAGTCACGTGATCTCTTGGCTGTGGCTTAGCAGGAAGTATTCAGAGCACAGACAAGTCACAGCCACATGAGTCGAGGTAGGGGGACTGGAAAGATGAGCCCTGTGTCTGGGGGGCTCTGGAGGTCCCCCAGGCTCAGGGAAAGTTTCATGATGGCCTTGGAGATAAGGGGCTTCCTACCTTCCTCTGGAGAAGCAGCTGGGCACAGGGAGGTCCAGACACAGCCTGGCACCCTCCCAGCACCCAGAGCTGTTTTCCCAGCCCGGCCCCTTCATGAACCAGCAGGTGGGCACAGGAAGGAATGAGCTTACAGGCGGGGACTTGGGGTGACCAGTTATCTCCTCATGAGGGAGACTCCACTGGCTAGAGACACGAAGCTGTCCCCACCCATCACTCAGGGCAGCGGGAGATTGTTCTGGAAGGCATTCTCTACCCCCTTGGGAATCCTGGATACCAAATCAGTCAGCCCAACTGTCCCAGGCAGCTTTCAGAGGAGTGACCCGAACTTGCCTTTGCCAAGGGCCCCAGGTGGGAATCCAGGTTCTGTACCTTCCAGAAGGTGAGACTGGGCAGATATAAATATACCTGGCATTTGAACCCGCAGGAATAACAGATGAGTTGCGTGGCATGATTTAGGTCGTTCCTTCTCTGGGTCTGCATACGGCAATTGCATTGGCTGTGTTGCTAGGTAACCAGCATGACAAAAAAAAGAAAGAAAGAAAAAGAGCCTCGGATGGCTCCTTAAATAGCAGCGTTTTCTGGTCTGCGTGGGGGTGGGGTGAGAAGGGGTGGGGTGGAATGCGGAGGGTCAGTGTTAGAGAGTCCTACATTTCAAAGACCCAAAGGTCAGCCACCCAGAGGAGGCTGAGCAGCAACCTCAGGCTGGCCTGGCGCTCGGGGTGAGGCTGGAGGCAGAAGGGACCTTGGTAAGGGGCATGGAGTGGCGTTCCTAGGAGAGGGTCTTGCAGAGGAGGTGGGGCCTGAAGCTCCTTCAAGCCCCTCCCACCGCCTCCCTTGCTGCAGCCCACACTGGTTCCCAGTCTGCTGGAGCCAGTCATTTGTCAGTACCTTCTTGAGCTTGGCCTCCTACACTCTTGTCTCTGAGAGACCAATAGTGGAGGGTAGCATTTTTCTTCTTGCCCTCCCTCTGCCTTTTTGTGAGCTCATTAGAGGCAAGAGCCATTTGTATCCCTTCTCACAGTGACTCCACAACCCCTAGCCTAGCACTGGACCCAAGGTAGGCCCTCAACAAAGGCACTGCAATTGGCCCTAAAAGTCTGAGTGTATGAATCTGTTTTCCGTTACTGTAATGAAATACCTGAGGCTGGTAAAAATGAAAACAAAAGAGGTTTTTTTAGCTCTTCATTTTGGAGCTCAAGGACATGAAGCCAGCATAGGCTCAGCTCTGGTAAGGACCTCATAGTAGATTATCATCATGGCAGGAATGTGTGTATGTGGGAAAAATCACATGGCAAGACAGGAAGCGTGACAGAGGGGAGGGACCAGCCTTGCTCTTTTTATAACTACCTTCTTCTGAGAACTAACTAGGATTCTAGAAAACTACCTCCATCCTTCTGAGGGCGTGGCCCCAAGGCCCTAGCCACTCCTACTCAGCCCCACCTCTTAAAGGTCCCACCATCTCAGTGCTGCCACCTGAAGGACCCAATCCCTCCAAGCACATAAGCCCTTTGGGAACACACTCCAGCCATATCCAAGCCGTAGCACTTAAGCCAGAGCCCAGGGAAATCTGTGACAGCTGAGCGGAGAAAAGCTCTTCCTTTGTTAAGTGGTGGGAGGTGGGGGGTCTGGGGTGAGCAAGGCCAGTTTGGACCCAGCTAGGCATCTGCTAGTCGGCCACACTGTGCTCTGAGCAGGTCAGTCTCCCAGAACACTTTCTTCAGTGGCATCCCCAGAGTTGCTTGGAATGGAGAGAAGCTAAGTAACAGTGGATAGCTTGGCCACAGTCGTACTTGGCCCCAGCATATGGGAATTGTCCTTGTCACCCACACAGGCACCACCTACCTGAGGTCACATATGTACAGGGGTGTACACACCAGGAGGGTAACTGCTGAGCTCCCTGGAGAAGTGTTGGACTCAGAAAGTTCCAGCTCTGAAGGGGAGAGAGAGAGAGAGAGAGAGATTGTATATTAGGGAAGCAGGCTTCCTCTCTGGTCTGTAGTGGCCATCTGAGTCGTCTGAGGTCATCACCATAGAACCTGCATGAGGTTGTAGTTAAGAGAATTTAGAGCCAATCTTCTTGCCAGGTGCGGTAGTGCACACCTGTAATCCCCGCGGCTCAGGAGGCTGAGGCAGGAGGATTGCAAGTTCAAAGCCAGCCTCAGCAATGGCAAGGTGCTGGGCAACTCAGTGAGACCCTGTCTCTAAACAAAATACAAAATAGGGCTGGGGATGTGGCTTAATGATCGAGTGCTCCTGAGTACAATCCTCAGTCCCCCACCCCCCCGAAAAAAAAGAATTTGGAGCCAGACTGTGTGTAAACCCCAGCTCAGTCACAGGCTGTGTGGCTTGAATCAAGCTCTTTACCGTCTCAGCATTTCACTTTTGACAACTGGTCATAGTTCTTGCCTCATAGGACTATTGTGAAAATTAAATGGCTTCATATGTATAAAGCACATAAAAAAGGGTGTCAGCAAACTTTTTCTGTAAAGGGTCAGGTAGGGCCATTTTTTACTTCGCAGGCCAATCTCTCACAAGTATCTCATTTTGCCATTGTATCATGCAAATAGCCACACACACAGTACATAATGCGCAGGCATGACTGAGTTCCAATTCAACTTTATTTACAAAAATAGGCAGAGGGGCCAGAGTTGGCTTGTGGGCTGTGACTTCTGAGCCCTGACAATGCCTGGCCCAGAGTAAGATCTGGAGAAGTATTAGCTGCTGTTTCTATTGGTAACATCCTGCTCTCCCCTCCTGGCCCTCCCTCCACATGTGGCCACCGTCAGCAGGTCCAGGCTGCATCCCTGGATGCCTGGGGAATCCCAGATTCCTGCCTGAAGGTTTTCTCCAGCCCTGTTGGCTTGGCTTCTCCCCTTCTTCCTGCCAGCCTCTGTGTCTCCCTAATCCTGCCACCCACCCTTCTTCCAACTGCCCATTTAGGAAGCCCTTTTCTACCTCTGAAATTTCTGGGGTTCAGATTTGAATTCCTTTTGCTGTGTTTCCATCTGTTGTCATGTTAGCTCTTGTCCCCCAAGGGCAAGGTCGTCCTCACCTCCATTTTTCAGATGAGGAAACTAAGGCCCAGGGACTTGCCTGGCAGCAGCACCACCAGGCCCCCCTCTGGATCCTCTGCCTGGCTCTTGGGAGGAAAGGAGGTACTGGTTGTCTGGGGGTGGGAGACACCCTATCTGTGGAGACCCATGTGGCCAGTGATGATGTCCCCTGCTCTTGCTCCTGCAGTCAGCCTACGCCGTGTCCCTGCTACGGGAGTGTATGAAGCTGCGGCCCTCGGACCCCACTGTGCCCCTGATGGCTGCCAAGGTCTGCATCGGGCCCCTTCACTGGGTAAGTGAGCTTGGGTCTCGGGCAGGCAGGGCCCAGGTCCCTTGGCATGGAAGGGAGGGTGTGGAGCTGGAGGAAGACGCGTGAGGACCCATGAGCTTCAGGCTTCGACAGCAGTCCCCTCCTCAGGATGGGGTTTTGTTTGCGGTTGAGCCTTGAAATGTGGTCAAGATCCAGTGGAGGGAAAGAAGAGGTGCCCCCCAACCTGCCCAGCAGTGGGGGTGATGGGCGAGACCCTGGAGTTGCCTGGATCCACTTGTCAGTTTAGAAGCCTTGGATGACCTCACATCCAGCATGAAAGGGCGTATGTGATGCTGAGGATCAGTCCTAGCCCTTGGCAGAGGGGAGGGCAGCCCCTCTGCAGCTGCTCTCCTTCCTCGGCTTCAGCCCTTGGGCCCAGCCTGGGCTCTGCTGCCTGCTCTCTGCCCTCTGCTGAAGCAGCTCAGCTGCTAGGAGGCTGCAGCTCAAGGGTGCCCTCTCCCCAGCTGGTGGCCTTTACCACAGTCTCCTGGAAACCAGGGCATTAGCAGCTTGGAGCAGTGGGAGAGTTCAGGGCCAGGAGCCCGGAGCCCCAGTCCAGGGCTGCTTGTCTCTAGGGCCAGGGCCGCTGGCCCAGGGTGGGGTGCCTCTGCGAGGATGTCTGCTCTCTCTGGGAGCTCACTTCCAGACGCTCTTGGCATTCGTAAGTCCCATTTAGCCTCCTGATGTCAGGGGTGGTCCTGTTTCTACCCTCTGAGTGACAGAGCAAGTGTCTCATTCCTCCCACATGCTGGCTCCAGTCCCACCTCTCCTCCCTTTCAGAATAAGTGTCCCCAGTTCCTTCATCTGTTCTCCGGGCCCAGGGTCGGCCAAAATGGGTGCTCTGCCTGGGCACGGCCATCCCTGACTTCTGGTAGTCCTGACACCCCCCAACCCACCCCCTCACCGTCCTGGGTCCAGTTTGTTCAAAGACAGCCGGGGCCAGCCGCCATGGGCCTCCCGCAGGTGCCAATAATTAGCACCCTGGACAACAGCCTCCTCCTGCCACTCTCCCCTCCTTGAGCATCCAGCAGACAAATCACTGGCCTTGCAAAAGGAGGTGATAAGCTCCCTGTGAATTCCACATCCTAACACTGTTCCAGTACAGGAAACTGGCCTTGGCCCTCCCTCGGGTCCCCACCTCACCATCCCCATGAGCTCTGCTTTCTCTCTGCTGCAAGGAGGGTGGGCAGCAGGGGTGAGGGGACAAGGCAGCCCTTGCCCTTTTACTTTCCGGTGCTCAGATTCTTGTGTCTGAAATGCTGATGCTGGGCCGCACTGTGGGGAGAATGACATCAGAACCACCCTGTAATGGGTTTTAGGCTTTTAGAAGGCACAGAATGGTGAGGTGGTCAAGAGTTTTTGCTGCCCACCCATTGGGTGCTCTTGAGTAAGGCACGTAACCTTGCTGTGCCTCCATTTTCTCATCCATAAAATGGAAACAATAACAGTCTCTTCCTTGGGCGTTGACATAAATGACATAAAGTCTGGCGAGGGCTGGATGGGCTAGGGAGGCTTCATGGAGGAAGTGGCCTTGAATAGGACTTGGAGGGTAGGAGGATCCCGGCCAGCAGCAAGGCCTTCCACCACAATTTGCTTCCCCTGGCCCTGTGATTATCAGGGAACCCTCATGCTCCCCAGATCTTTTGGGGAAGGCTGTTGACATCTTGTTCCCTAGAGTTAGGGTGCCCTGATGAGCAAGCACTTGGATATGGGTGGCAGAGATTTAGCAGGAGCTGAAGGGTGCAGAGCGAGTGGGCTCCTGACCACCAGTTCAGACCCCTGTTTGTTCCAGGGCTTCTGAGAGGGGCCTCAAACGTCCCTGCAATGAAGCCCAGAATACTCATGTCTCTGAGGGTGGGGCGGGGGAGGGCATCTGTGCTCCCGAAGGCTGCCAGCTCCAAGGGAGCTGTGGTCCACCCAGCCAATGGCACCCTTGCCAGGAAGCCCTAAATTTAGGTCTTCCCACCACAGAGGAGCTGTTTCCCTCTACAGCATAATTACAGTAATTATGTGCATTCAGATTACATGGTAATAAAATTAGGATCAAATCAGTCCAAATTGAAATCAGATGAGTTAGGAGCAAAGTAATCAATGACAACATAAATAGAAAAGCCCAGAAGGAAGCTTAAACACGCAGACTTGTCATTGGATCAGGGAGAAAGAAGGGCGAGCTGTTGAACCTGGGCTGAGCATGTTGAGCGTTGGGGCGGGTTGGAAGCTGGGTTTAAATCAGGCCCAGCCAGCACAAGACCCTGGTGGGCCAGGGGTGGGCCACTGGCAGCCTCCCTAGTCTGGAAGCCAACTCCTGTATCCCCCGAAACCTTGCTTGCACCTGCCTTGGACATGGATTGCACTGCATTGCGATCTGGTGTTTCTTGGGGCAGGACTGCCTCTCTCACTTCTGAAACGCCACCCACAGTTCAGTGGGTGGTGCTGGTGGGTGGACCCTCCTTGCCCATGAGCACAGCTGTCTCTTCATAAGGAATTCTGCCTTGGATGGCCCTTGTCTTCCCAATTAGATGGGGATCTTCTTTGCTCACGATGTTTTGCACTCTGAACCCCTCTCCCTGCAGAAAATTGTACGAATGGTGGGCGTTACTTCTAATTTATATCAGACTAAGCATGGCCCAGCTAGCCAGGAGGGGCCCAAGTGTTCTGCACTTGGCTCAGTGGTTTCTCCTGCCCTTTGGCTAGTTCTGGCTGCCTGGTTGGCACAGGGCAGGGAGCAGGCTGTGGGGTAGCCAAGGGCAGCCTGTTCTCCGAGGAAGCCAGGAGATGGGCAGCCTTGTGCTCTCTGTTCCCAAGGCTGCCGCAATGGAGGATGGTCTGACGGCAGCAGGGGCCTAGTTGCATGAGACAGCACGCATCCTGAGACGCGACTGACGCCCCTCCGTCTCCTGCCTTCACAGTCTTCTGGCTCACGTCAGCCCCCAGCAGGCCCAGCCATTGTCCAGCCAAGCCCCAAGAGCAGGGGATAGAAATCTGGGGGTAGACCATTTGGCCTGGGTTGCAGGAAAGGAGGCTGAAACTGGGACATTAGGAAAACAAGTTGTGCTAGGCAGAACCAGCCTGGGTGGCCACATGCCCAAAGGGCGGAGCACCTGCTGTCCCCGCATCCTGTCCTCATGTCCAGAGCCAGTGTGGGATGCCCCAGGCCAAGTCTGGGTCTGAGAGCAAGGCTGCCCCCAGGTGGGGGCCAGCAGAGGGACTTGCATGGTCCTGTGCTGGTTGCTGGCTAACCCAGGACTTTGTGACGGGGTAGGAGTTGGCAGGGAGGACCCCACCCACCCGCCTGAGCCTGAGGCTCCTGAGGTGGGTGAGGACTTTCCTGGCACAAAACCAGAGAGGCCTGCATGGTAGCCTCTGCCTGGGCATGGCCAGCATCTTGCCAGGGACCCTACTTTTAGAAAAGGAGGAGAAAGGGAGATGTAGATATTTTTTAGTATCCCTCCAAACACAAGTATTTAAAATCCATGTAATTTTAAAAGTTGAAACATTTGTAGGAGGCAAAGAGGACAGGGTGTGCGTGAGTGGTATGTGTCACACAGACAGCAGAGGAGGCTGTGGAGTGGAAACGCGGGTGTGCTCACCTCAGGAAGGTATGTGATGCATCTCCCACAGGGGACACCCTGAGGGGCCGTGGGTGTGGCAGAAAGCGCTGGGGTTCGAGTCCCCGCCTACCCACACTTCACTAGCTTGTGGCTTTGAAGCAGTCATTTACTTCCCAGGGCCTCAGTTTCCTCATCTGTAATCTGAGAACTGTCACATCCGCTGTGACGGGGAGGCTGTGAACATGAGCGGAGATGGAGCCTGTCCCTGCCTCACGCTGCTGGTCCCTGGTAAATGCTCAGCATGGCTGTTCTAGCCCCTTCAAGAGCAGGCACTCAGAAAGGATGCACCTTTACATTTTTGCCTTCATTTTTCAAATTTAGGGGTGGGCAGAGCCAGGAAGACGGATTAAGTGTTGATGAGGCAGGGAGAAGCGAGCACCAGCTCTCCTGCCACCACCTTTTAGAAATGAGAAAGTGTCTTCTCCTCCCAGGAAGGAAAAAGTGGGTTTTCCACAGAGCAGTGACCAGTAGGCTCCGGGTCCTGTGGGAAGGAACTAAGAAGAAACTGGAGGTCTCTTTAAACAGAGCCCCACAAGCCCAGAAATGGGCTTTGTCTAGTCCCCAGGAAGAGGGGAGACTCCCAGGGTGAAACCTCTTTGGCCTGCTGCAGAGAGAAGTCAGCCCAGGAAGAGCAAGGCGCTCAGCCAGGAGCGCTGGAGAGAGGAGAACTTGCAAGATTGCAGGGAACCTTTCCTTTACTCATGAAAGCAGAGTATCAAAGCATTATACCCTTCAGTTCATTCTTTTTTCTAAAGTGTCAGGAGAAAAATAAAAAGCTACAGAAGGCAGCCGAGGTCAGGGGTCCTGCATGACCTAGGCTCTTTCCGTGCCTAGGTCATGCAGGCTCCCTGTGCCTCAGAACCTCCAGCTGTTCCAACAGGTGGCCATGGTGCTGTGACGTTGCAGGGTGGGGGTGGGGGGTTCGGTCTCCGTAGAACCACAGGACCTTCTCAAGGGTTCTTTTTTGACAAGGTTATGTGTCTGCCCTGGGTACAAGAGCATTGTATCATGGGGGAGGAAGGTTGGCAGGAACACTGGAGACTCCTCACCGGGAAGTATCATGACCAGCAGGCAGGACCCAGAGCCACGCCTGAGCTGTCGCAGAAGCAGTGTTCCCCACAGAGCTGACAGTTGTTAACTTTGGAGGCTGGGGGAGGAAGTGTCTGGAGTTTGGGAAGTACACCTGAGGCACCAAGCAGAGAAGACCAGGGCAGGTGGCAGAAGCTCAGGCACCTGGCAGCTCACACTGTAGGGTTAGAACAGCATTTTGCAGACCGCACAGGTGGGGAGACCTGTTCATGGGCTGTGGGCTAGAACACTTAAAAAATTAAAATAGACTCCCAGGATAGGATGGGAAATATTCCAGTGCATAATCCACGGAGGGGGTGAATTTTGTGACAATGACTGGGTCTACTGATTATGGAATGTGTGTCCTGGACCAGGGTGGGGTCAGAGAACTTGAACAACCTGGCAGAGCAGACTGAGCAGGGCTTCAGAGTCACCAGCTTATCCTTGTGTGGTCACTCCTCCGAACTAAGGGTCAGGCCAAGAGACTGTAATGTCCCCTCTCTGGATTCTAGAGGGCCTTTGATGTCACTTCCTAATTTGTCAGTGAGATCATGTGTATGTACAATACACACACACACACACACACACATATATATATACACATATATACATATATACATGAATGCATAGTTGTATTCATATTTTGTGTGTGTGTGTTTGTGTGTAAATAATACTGGTTTGGGAATGTAGCCCATAGTAGAGCAGCCTAGCATGTATGAGGCGCTGGGTTTAATATCACACATACACACAATCAGTAAATAGATAGATAAATAGATAGATAGGCAAATGAATGCTTACTACAAAATTGTATTTGCTATCTGGTCACATAGTGCCCTGAGCATTACCATGTGACCCATTCGGTCCTCCCAGCAGCCCCCTGAGTGACACTGCTGTTATCTTCATTATACAGAAGCGGGGAACTGAGGCACAGCAAGAGCAAGTGACCAAACCACGACTCAAGTCCCAACAGCATGGCCCCACTGCTTTGTCCTTGTCACCGGGCTGCCCTGCCTCTTTGCAGAAAGTTAATTGGCGAGTGAGCTGGCTTGGGGTTGAGCGTAATTCTAGCAGGACAGAGCGAAGGTTGGCAGAGTCAGCGTCCAGGGATTCAGGACCCCACTCTTGCTAGTTGAAGGGACTTAAGTGTTATAAAGCATTTCATTTTTAGTTCTTGCTGCGACAGCATTCTACTCTTTGGCTAGCTAGTTAGAGCACCTACAGATGCGGTGTGCTGTTGAATTGTGTATTGTTTGTTTTAATAGAATTAATAATAATATTTTCCTTTATAAGCACTGCAGTGACTGCACATGCAGAAAGCCTGTTTTGTGGGGTGGCAGTAGAAATCACAATAGCATCGGCCGTGTAGGAACATGGTACATGGCAGCCTTGTGAATTTTATCTCCTTCCTTTCTGCACAATGGTCCCTCTGCTCCTTCAGGGGTGTTTGTTTTACTTTGGTTTTGATTTTTAGTTTTGCACAGAGCTTACCAAAACTGTGCCCAACTCATCTCTCCGTGGCTAATGGTTTCTGTCTCAGGATCCTAATTCCAAACTCTAGGGACAGAGACTCCACCAGATGTGGCCAGTGGTTAAGCCACAGGACACAGAGCTGCCTCTCTTCTGCTGGGGCTGGACCTAAGCAGGGACAGGGCAGGGGCAGCTCTGGCTGTGGTGCCAAAAGCAGCTCAAAAAGTGTGAGTCTGGTCTCCCAGTTGGCTGACGTTGCAAGCCCCTGGCTGGGGGAGACACCTGTGGTCAGGGGATGTTGACGTGGGTGGCACTAGAGGGCTTGGGTGTGATATGTTCTGCCCCTTGCTGTGGGCTGGCATGAATCTCAGGGACGGAGGGAGCATCTCTGCCCTCTCTGGAAGCTCATTTTCTCAGAGATGGGAACACAGACATGCCGCTGTGGGAGCGAGGAAGTGTTTCTTGGAGGCGTGTAGGCAAGAGTGGGCATGCGGTAGCCCCTGGCTGTGATGTGCCCTGCCACCTCAGCCTCTGTGGTGGGTGCCCCAGGGTGTCCATGAGGCCTGTCTCATGGACTCTCTCTTCATCTATGGGTATGTGATGGTCTGTGCATGTGTGACCCCTGCTAGTTGGTCCTTTTCCAACTTGAACAGTCCCCCTGCTGTGTGAGGGACAAAAACAGCCCTAGGCCTTTTTCCACTGCTCAGGGATGGAGCAGGCCCTGGACTTAGCCGGAGTGGCAGCCTGCCTGCCCTGTGGGGCTGCATGTCCAGCATGCCTAGCCCTGGCTCCCCTGTGTCTGCAGAGCAGGGCAGGCGCAGAGGCCACACAGGCAAGGAAGCAGCACTGACGGGCCTGCCTTGGGTTCCTGCTCCTGGCAGAGCAAGCTTTGGGGAGCCAGATCTCTGGGGCAAGGGAAGCTTCTCCCAGGGAGAGATGGCATCCTGTGACCTTGAGCACAAGCCCCCTTGGAGGGGGAACAGGTCCAGAGAGTCACTCTCCAGTAAAGGAAACCGCCAGTTCTTCTGCTCAATGCTTGTGTGGCCTGGACAAGCCTCCTGATCTCTAGTCATGGGGCCCATACGTGAGGAATCGCTGTTCTCGTCTGCACAGCAGCGTCCCAGGCTTGTGACTGTGTGTTGCCTGTCATGTCCAGAGCCCTCCCCTGACTCTACCTCTCCTCTCCACAGCTGGAGGAGGCCGAGCACTTTGCCAAGGTGGTGGTCAGCCTCGGTGAGGAAGCTGGGGATTTCCTCCCCAAGGGCTACCTGGCCCTGGGTCTCACCTACAGCCTGCAGGCCACTGACGGTGAGTGCCAGGCCCTGTGAGAGGACATCTCAGGCTTCCTAACTGCCTCCAAGGTGTCTTGTCCCACCAGTACCCCCACTGCACCACTCCCCACAGACACTATTCACATTCTTCTGCATGGCACACGCACACGCGCACACACACACGTGCACAGATACACACCTCTCAGTTCTTTGGTTCAGACTGCCTTCATACCCAGCTCTTCCCACACTCCAGTTCTTCCCACCTTTTAGGCCCTGCCCCAGCTCCAACAAAGCCCAGTCTGATCTCCGTGGAGCTTCTGGTACTTTCTATCTGTGGTGCCCGGTATCAGCCCTCCACCCCACGGTGCCTTCATTCTGGTTCTCACAGACTGCTGTGATCTTCTGAGGTCTTTTAAATCCCCCATCACATATGGCATGGTGCTGGGCATACAACAGGTGCTTCATAAGTACTCGTGCTTAGTTGATAGGTTCCACTCCTTCCTGCCCAGGCCTGGTGCTCTCTCCCTTGTGCCAACTTTCCCCCATTGATCAGGCAGCTACCCTCCTGTTCTTGCAGCATGAAGGGAAGGGAGTAACAGACCCCTCCCCAGGCCTAACCTGGACTGGGATCTACCTTCACCCACCTCTCCCTAGTGCCAGGCTGTGGGAACAGGGCTGTGCACACTTGGCCTCAGAGGCCCTGCGCAGCCTGGCTTGTCCAAAGAAGAGAAGAAGCTGCCTACGAGAGCCTAGTGCAGAGCCAGCTCCTACTGCTCAAGGCATGTGGCTGCAATGTCTTCAGGCCTCTGTGCCCCCCGCATGGTCTAGAGGGATTCCTCAGTCCCTTGGTCACAGTAGGTTTTGATCAAAAGAGCTCCTAGCCTTCGACCCTGTCCTGGTAGGGACTGTTCCTGAGGCTTTCAAGGTGAGGAGCTCTGCTGGCTCTCAGTGCAGACCCTGGGGTGGGGCCTGCACACAGTCATGCTCACACCACACCAAGGCTCAGGACACCTGCCCTGCTGTGTGTAAAGTTGGATGCAGTTCACCAGAAAGGTGCTCAGCTTGGGGTTCCGTCAGCAGCGTGGTGGGCAGGGAAGCCCACCACAGGCAGTGACCTTTCTCAAGGCTTGGGCCTTTGAGAGTCAAGTTGGTCCAGGGGGCAGAGAAGCCAATGGAGTAGAAGGAACCTGTGTGCCAAGAAATGTGCTAGGAGGCCAGGGCAGCAGAGAGCATCATCAGGGCTGCTGGCCTTCGAGGCCCCTGATGTCTCAGAATCCATCTGTCTCCTACAGCCACCCTGAAGTCCAAGAAAGATGAATTGCACCGGAAGGCACTGCAGACGCTGGAGAGGTGAGGAGATGTCCGCTGGCCCCAGGGGCCCTTTGGGGTATTCTTCCCCTCCATGTTTACCTCTGAGGTGTTCACCCTTATGAAATGGAGGTTTCTATTTCCACTTTATGGATGAAGAAACTAAAACTCTGGGAGGTGACACAGCAAGCAAGGTCAGGCCATGGGGGGTTGGGTACGCAGCGAGCCCTGCCCTCAGCTCCAGGCCTCTGGCCTTCAATGCTGGTGGAGCCCCGGGGTCAGCTAGGACCTGGGACTATGGCAGCTACTAGGCTCAGCCCCTGGGGCTCGGGGCTCTAAAATGGAATAATAGCACACTGCTGGGTGACAGTTACACGAGATGAAGCAGGAAGTGCATCTGGTTGCCATCTCCTACCTTTATCAGAGAGTCAGGAATGGTGATCGTCTCCTTTCAGGCTCTCCCAGCCACCTCACGTCTGTGAGGACCTCCCATCTTCCCGCAGCCCTCGCAGAGATTTCCTAGCAGCCTGGGGTCAGGGGACAGAGACGACCTTCTCCCAGGAGCTCTGCTGCCTCAGGCCCACCCTTGCCCAGCCCCTCCTCTGCACCACAGCCCCACCCACCTGTCTCCCTCCTCCCTCCTTCCTCTGCCCTCTCCTGCATCTTCTCCCTCTGAGCCTCTGTGTATCCTGCTCCCTCCTGAGCACTGAGGTGGCTGTGTTGTTGGCTAGGGCCCTGCTGGGCCTCCACTTGCCAGCTTTGTTGGAACATCTGTCCCCCTCTGGGCAGATTGTACCCCTACCCAGGGATGCAGCTCCAGGGGGTTCTGGAGCTCCAGGAATGGGAGACTCTTCCCCACCAGCTCTTCATTCTTGCCAGAGAGGCCATTCTAGGTCCTCCACCCTCAGGGAGCCTCTGTCCTTCTGAAGAGAGGTGGGAGGCTCTGGCCAGCTGACAGATGCTCAGAGGCAAAGGCCAGGCTGCTGGGTATGGATATACACACTCTCTCCCCTCCCTCTGTTCACTCAGGTCTGTCACCTCAGGGCCACATTGCAGATGGTCCCTACCTCAGCTAGTGCCAGCCCTCCAGAGCAGCTGTCCCTGCTTTGGGGACTTCTGCCTAAGCCATCATCTTCCGACTGGATGTGCCTCCAAGACAGGGCCTGGCCGAATCCCCCATCCCCACTGTGTTGGCCCACAGCGCCCGGCTTAGGGTTGGCAAGCTGGGGTCCGGCTCATATGCTATTGCTCAATCATTGATGACTGACTTGTCACTTCCTCTCCCCATACAGAGCCCTGGAGCTGGCACCTGGTGACCCCCAGGTCATCCTTTATGTCTCCCTGCAGCTGGCCCTCGTCCGACAGGTGGGTTGTCACAGTTCCTAGGCCCCAGATCCCTGGGGGGTGCTGATCCCTTCCTGGCCATTCTGCTTACTAGCTGTGTGACCCTCTGCAAGAGACTGGGCCTCTTTAAGCCTCTGTGTTCTTATCTGTTGTGAGCACCTTTGTGCCCCTCCTTGGAGAGTCCTAGTGAGGATGAAGTCAGTTAATGGGGTACAGCCCTGGCCCATGGGGAGCAGAGAGGAAGGGAGCATCTCTTGCCCTCACTTACCTTACAACATTTCAGTCTTCTGAGGTGATGAGTGATCACAACAGCATTTGCTTGTGTCCTGCCTCCCACCAACCTTTCCCTGAGAGTCTGGGGGAATGTGGCACCTGGAGCAGTTTCCGGGTGGGCTTTCTATGTTACCCAAAGCCTTTCCCTGAGCCTCGGCCTTGGCTTCTGGGACCCTTAGGGGCCTCCTGTCAGCCAACTGCCTTCACCATGCTGGGAGCACCGCCACCACCTGCAGCTCTTCAGGTGGACCTACCTTTCCCCAAGCTAGCAGCTGAGCTGTGAGCTGTCAAGAGGACACTGGCTATCTAGGCACGTCCCCATCCCAAGCCCTGGAGAATCTCCCTTGCCTCACACACACTACAGACTGGTGCTCTGGGAACACATGTGGCCTCCAAAGCAGGACCTCTCTGGTGGCCTTGGCCTACTGCATATGGACCGTGACACCCACTGACTGCTCAGGCACCGCAGACAAGCCCGTTTTCCAACAGCTCTCGTCTCCTGTGCCTCCGGGAAGCAGGCTGAGCTCCAGACTGCTGGAGCGCTGGACTCGGGTCTCCAGTACAAAGCTCTCCCTGCCCCAGTTAAGAAAACCGTGGTCCATCCAGGGATGGGCATGGCACCTCATTCCTGGCCAGGAGGCTGGTCTTGCTGTCGTGCCTGGACATCGGTAGTTGAGTGGGCTTTTTCTCCTACTCCAGGGTGGTGGGGTTCTGTACTGTCTGCCTGCATCACCCTCCCCTGGAACATGTGTTGGCCTGGCTCCTCTTGTCACTGCATGATGGTTCTCATTATTGGAATCTCTTCCTTCTCACCCCATGCCTGGACCCTTTTCTTGGGTCCAGTGACCTGTCACTGTCACTCTGAGTCCTTCTGTCTCCCTCTCTCTGTCCTTCTGTCTCAACCATTTTCTCCCCTCGGCCCTGCCGTCGTTCCTGCTGTCCTCCGCTGCTTTTCTCGCTTCCTCTTCTATCCCCTCCCCTGTGACTCACCCCGTCCCTCCTCCACCTCCACTCTGTGCCCACGCTCCTGACTTCCAGGCCTTGAACCAGGCACTGGGTCCTTCTGTGTCTGTCTCCAAGAGCATCACTCTCCTCCCAGGAACACAGATGGAAAGATACCTGAGACTGCTTTATTTTTAGCCTTCTGTAAAAGAACCTGGTGCTTTTCTTGCCAATCAAGTTAATGATAAACCTTTGGTGATGCATTTTTTAATCTCTTTAATTATTCACTCATCTCAGATGAATAGGGCCCATCCTTCAAGAGAGATGGCCAGCCAGGCCATTGTGGCCTGGTGCCTAGTTTCCCTGGGGACTCCGGGTCTCATCAGCCTCAGGGGTTTGAGGGCCTCTGAGTGGACTCTAAGCCAGAGCCCTTACCCGCCTGATTCTCTGAGGCTTAGAGCCATCCCATCCTGCCCAGAGCATGTCTTCCTGCTCCAACAGTGATGTTTAGGGACATGGGTGCCTAGCCCAGAGTAATGGGGTGTGTTGTGGCAGAATTACCTTGGCAGGAACAGCCTTGGGGAGGCACAGATAAGCCAAAGTGGTAGCCACAGTGATCAAGGGGGTAACAGAGCCTCATGCTAAGAGTTGCAACTGGATGAAGCAGCAGTTGGAGGCGGGGTAGAGGAGGTTTGTGTGTCCTGGGGAACTGGGCCAGGATGGAGGTACCGACATTTGGGAGGTGAGGAGGACATAGTAGTTAGCTGGACGCCTGCCACAACCCTGGTCCATCTGGCTGGCCTTGACCTGGGAAGAGCTGAGTGTGGGCCTTTGGCTCACCCAGCAGGGGCTTTAGCAGCTTGTTGGAGGCCCGGCTCTGTTGCTAAATAGCTCCACAGGGCTGGACCTCTTAGGGTGAGGACATTTGAAAAGATCAAGGGATGGAAGATAAACATGCATTTTCATTTGCAGAGTTAGTTCATTTAACCTTTCTGAAGTAAGGCATGTGCCTAACTTGCAGATAAGGAAACTGAATTCAGAGAGACTGGAGCTCCAGGATATGGCTAGAACCATTTTTCCCCCCAAATTCACAAATACTGCTCTTTCTGCAACAAGCCCAAAAGAGCGTGATCAGTGGATTCAGATGGCACTGCCCCAGCCAGGACTGGAGCAGTAGGCTCGCATGTGTTTGCTAAGAAGGAGGAGATGGTGTAAGGGGCGCAGGTCACATGAAATTGTTCGAGAGCTGCCGCAGGCACCAGGATGATGGGCATCTTTTGAAGAAGACTGTTTACATTGGTGACTGCCAGAATTCTTTTTACTCCTTGATGTTTGTGGAAACTTTGCCCAGCCCCTGCCAAGGGTGTACAGGCCTGGCACGTGGGTGGGGGTTGGGAGGAGCTTTGCTCCCTGACTGAGCAGCAGATGGGTGCAGATACTAAGAGGTGGAATGGGATGCAAGAGATGAGCCTGCAGATGAACCTTGGAACCGACCTGGGGAGTGTTGTACTGAGAATGATTTCTTCAAGAGAGGGGAGTTCCCGGATCCAACCACATCCTCCCCAAGGCCAGCTAGAAGCAGGGATCCATCCTGGCAAGGCAGTGGCAGGCAGGCATATGGTCTTAGCCCTGCACAGTCTCCCTTTGGGTGTTCTAGGAAGTTAACCCCACGACCCTGTTGCTACTTGCAGATGGGGCATGACCACAGCTGCAAATCATGAGTCCCTCAGCAGCTAGATCTGGTAGGGTGTTAGGGTCCCACTCAGATAGGACAGTAGAAGTTGCCCTTCCCCGCTGTACCTGCCTCTCCTCACCAATAGGCCTCCCAGAGCCACCAGGGCCTGGCCTCTTTCACATAGAGCTCCAAGAAGAGAAGCAAATCATGGGAATCATGTGGCCCTGGGTGTCTCCACTGTCTTCCAGAAGACCATGGGCCGAGTTCACAGCATTCCTGGGGGCATCTGCAAGGGGCTTCCCAGAACCCTCCACGTGACTTTCTTCACCCTGCATGATCTGGCCTCCTCCAGTCTTACTTCTGTATAGAACCAGGCTTGATAATCATTTATTGAGTCATAAAACAAAACACAAGACTAGAATCTGGCTAGGCCCCCCCCCAATGCCCGCATTAGAAAGCAGTCTCCCTCTCTTCTCCCACTAACCTCAGCTGCATCCTTGCCTTAGGTCAGCTTTTCTCCTGCCTGGAACACCCCCTTTCTATCGCTTTATGCTGAGAACCCCGTTTCCATTGGCTGACCCCCGTTGTCAGAGCTCTAGGAAAGGGCTTCTGCACCTGATCAGGCTGCCTCTTCCTAGAACTTCCACACTTCCATTTAGGAAGTGCTTCCCAGTGTCTACCAAAATCCTTCATGCTGCACCATGAACCTGCTGCCCTCTACTCCCCACAGGGACAGCAGGTCCCTCCTTGATGGGCTATCTGGGGGACGTGTTTTCTTGTTGTACAATCCCCATCCCCCAAGGCCCAGGGCTCGCTCACTTCTTGGCTGACACCTGGCCCCCAGAGCCTTGGGGAAGGTCCCTAAGCTGGCCATTTGCTTTGGCAGATCTCTAGTGCCATGGAGCAGCTGCAGGAGGCGCTGCTGGTGTGCAGGGACGATGCCAACGCACTCCACCTGCTGGCACTGCTCTTCTCCGCCCAGAAGCACCACCAGCATGCCCTGGATGTCATCAACATGGCCATCACCGAGTACCCTGAGAACTTCAAGTGAGTTCCCTGGGGACCCTGTCTGGTGGGGGGTGACTGGCCACTGGCAAAGGCACCTGTGCACACACACACATCCTTATTGCCAGCCACGCACATGGAGTAAGCTCCTATTGCATGCATGCTCCCAGGTGGAGACAGGGTGTAGGGCGGTCAGTGACCCTGGGGCTCTGTACTGGGGTGCCACACAGGGACTAGTGAGCCTGTGCTGCTGCTCAACTTTGGGGGGCAGGGACCGTGGACATGCAGAAGAGGGTGTGGCGCGTTGGACTGCAGGTGTACCGCTCAGGTGCTTCCGCCCGCCCCACTCTGCATGAGCATCCTCGGGGCATGTGACTTAATCATGACCCTCATACAACCAGCCAAGGATGGGATTCTATCACTGGCAGAGCTGGCAGAGGCCAAAGGAGCCATTCCCCTGCCTCCAAGCAGCCATTCCACCAGCCATTCACTTGGCCCAGGCAGTGGTGGGTGGGGCAGGACTAGTTCTTCCTACCCTCACCTATAACACAGGAACTACTGCCACCAAACCAGAACATGGGAACAAAAGCCACTCAGCTGAGGCAGGAGCCTGGCTGCTCTGTGGGAGGAAACCAGGGGGAAGACATCTTTTGACTTCTGCCTTCTTCCCCTCAGGAACAGGTGACACAGGGTATAATAGTCTTTGTTTCTCTGAATCCTATAATCCCAGAATGAGGGGCCCCTGAGCTCCCTGACTCCCACCCTGTTCCACCTTGGGGACTGAAGGAAGGCCATTTAGAACCAACCTGAAGCTGTCCCACTGGAGACAGCCAGGAGGAAGCTGGGGTCCTGGTCACCCTGGTCACTGTGACTCATGCTGGCAGTATCAACGAGAATTGGCAATGTTATGGAGAATTAGGGAAAATCAGTGGAATCCTTGGGTACTTCAGTGGTGATGGGTGATAAGGGAAAACGCAGTGTCCCAGCCTGGGAGGTTCTCCTCACAGGGAGACCTGGGCTTCCACCTCTGTCCTATCAGAAACAGGGCTGACCACAGGGGTCATGCTTGGCCTTTCCAGCACCCCTGGCCTCCTTCTGAGAACACTGCAGGTGATTTCACTTGTGGCCTCTGCCAGGGTGCTGAGGACTGCTGTGGATGGGGTCCTCCTCACCAAGGCCTCTAAAGAGTGGTACCCGAGCCAAGCATCACAGTGGGCCTTGTGAAGAGGGGCCCACCATGAATGAGGCCCAGGGCTGTCAGTGCCTTGCCAATTAGCCTGCTCTGCAGTCTCAGGATCCTGGAGTCTTGCTCTGCCTACCCTCATCCAGATGGACCCCCACCTGCAGGACCCAGGTGGGTCCCAGCTGCTCACAGGTGTGAGTAGAGCATGTGGCCATCTCAACAAAGGCCCATCCTTGTGTTTAAGGGATGGCCCTGAGTCTGAGCCTTGACCCAGCTTTTGAGAAACTGGTAAAATTCTGATCACGTCACTTTATAAGGCAGGTCACTTAGGGGATTCTAAAACCCAGATAAATCCGTTTGGACAAGGGATTAGATACCTCATCTCAGTTAATGGCAAATATTATACAGCAATACAGGCTGATAACATTTATGGGTTTTTTTAAATTTATTTATAATGAAAATACACAAAGACAAAGTTTCTCCAATCCTAGTGCTGCTACCTTCCACTTTCCAACTGCATCCTCACACCCGTCTACCAGGCCCTGACTCACTGTGGCTGGTGTGCATGTGATCCGTGTGCCTGTGCCTGTGTGTACCTGCACTAGCATGTGTATGTCTGTGTGTGCATTCACTCTTGTCAGTTAGGCCTCAGTGGAGACAGAAATGGCTAAGAAGATTTAGAATCCTCTTGGGGGGTGGGGGGTGGAGGCAGCGTGGTGGCACACACCTGTAATCCCAGCAGCTCAGGAGGCTGGGGCAGGAGGATCACAAGTTCAAGGCCAGCCTTGGCAACTTAACAAGACTCTCTCTCAAAATAAAATTAAAAGAGCTGAGGGCATAGCTCAGGGGCAGAGTGCTTGCTTGCCTAGCTTGTTCAAGGCCCTGGGTTCAATCCCCAGTATAAAAACAAAAACAAAAACAAAAACAGAATCTTAGGGTGAGAAAGGGGAAGAGACTCCTCAGCAACCCCTGGGGCTGGGCCGTGTGCACCACAGATGCCAGGCAAGGCTCAAGGCAAACAGTATTTTATCAGCAAGTCCTTTTCCAAGTGAATCTCACACGGAAACTGAGAATATGAAGCAGACAGCTCTCTGACAGGGCTTCAGGAAGACTCAGAGCTGGCCCAGGAGGCCTGCCTTGCACCCTAGTTCCAGCAAAGGAGGCCTTTCCATTCCAGCTGCAGGTGGGCAGGTGGCTCAGTGTGTCTTCCTAACTTCTGAATTGAGTGCTCCAGCAGGCACCCCCTCCCCGTCACGTGACCACCTCCCCGGGTTGAAAGTCTGAAGTCCAAGCTGTGTGAGGTGCAGCAGTGCATGGGGTCTCTCAGTGTGGGGACCATCCCTCTGCCCGCCCTCAGCGTCCCTGGCCCACCTCGGGCAGGTGCCTCCTGCAGGCACCACTTCCTCCACTTTCCTGGGCTCTGGGTTGGCCTGGGAAGGCTCGGCTTCCTCAGGGCAGGGTGGGAGCCCCGCTGCTGCCCTTCCCCAGCTGCATTCTTCACCACCTTCCGCCCACCCCACCAGGACACGCCCCCTCACTCTGAGTGTGTCTTCATGGGCAGAGGGTCCTGGCCTTGAGCTTGCTGCTTCCTGGGGACATGAGTGAGGGCTGTGCTTGCGTGCATGTGGGGAGATGGATTTCATCAGATTCTTAGAGGGGCCTTGCCACAGAAAGGTGGAGGAGCTCTGGTGCAGACAGATGGCTGCTGTCAGTGTGCAGCCTGAATCCTGGGCTTCCCCGCACCCCCAGCAGTGTCCCCGCTTGTGCAGGCGGGAGCCTTAAGGGGGCAGCCTCTGCCGTGGGAACAACTCACCCATACAGAGGACGCACTGTGACTGAATCAGGGGCATCAGGAACTCAGGGGGCCGAGACCCTGCATCCCCTTTCGTGCCCTGTAGTGTGCAGAGCAGCGTGCTGCAGGGCCGCCCCCGAGTTGCACCCCGCCTCTGCCCATCTGCTCAGGGGTCAGCAGGGGAGGAGAAGCCGTTTTTATCTTGAGCCACTCTGAGCCCCTCCTCTGCCAGACCAGGAGGAGCTCTGTTTTCATCTGAGCCAGTCCTTAACGGGTACAAAATAGGCTGAGGTGTAGCTCAGTGGTAGAGTGAGTGCTTGCTTTGTCATGTGTGAGGCCCTGGGTTCCATCCCCAGCACTGGAGAAAAAACTCTAACTGGAAAAAAATATATAGGGCTTTCCGGCCTCCAGAACTGTGAGAGAATAAACCTCTTCCATTAAAAAAAAAATACATATATATATGTGTTTTAAATATATGTACACGTGTATATGTGTGGCTGGGGAAGCTGCCTTCCTTCCACCTCTGTTGAGTGACCATAAGGTAATGACCATGTCACTTTGCAAATAAGTCATTCTGTTCCTCACAGCAGAAACCCCAGAGTACAGAAACCCAGGGATTAGCAGGAAATGTCATTGAGTCCATTACGGGTCAGGGATCTCTGCAAAATGTCATTGCTCCTGGATTGACACCGAGTCCTGCTCCTCCAGCTGCTCCCTGCACTGGGAACAAGCACAGTGGCTCCAGCTGTTGCCAAGATAGTTAATTAAAACAACTGGTCCAGTAAAATATCACTCGGCAAAACAACATGAACCAAACCTCCTCAGCCCTGACCTCACTGTTGCCAACAAACTCTGTTTTCAGGGGACATTCACAGGCCTATGGTGGTCTCTCTTCTACCAAACACAGGCTGTCTGGGGGTTGACGCCTCCTAGAACTTGTCTTTCCTGCAGCAACCATCAGAGCAGCAGGTGCCAGAGCCTGCCCCAGGGAGGGGAGAAGTGGCAGGCCACTGTTGGCATGGGCGCTTTGCCCGTCATTGTTTGAGAGAAACCTGGTGCAGGGGAGGAAGCCAGTGGGTAGATGGACCCCCGTCCACTAGAGATTATCCTCGTGTGAGAGCCATAATGAGGTCCCTGCCCTTGAGTTAGCTCTGTCACTTGCCCATGCCACCTGCAGCAACTTGCTTTTTGAAAAGTCAGTCAACATCGGTCCTGGCTTCCTGGGGTCTGCTTTGAGACTCAAACTAAAGGAGGTCATGTAGCTGATGGACAGCCGTGCCTGAGGTGGCAGTGTGGAGGGTCGAGGGGCTGCCCACCGAGTCACACTGGTATCTGGGACCTGAGGGCAGCAGTGGGTGCAGGGACCAGGAGTTGGAGTAAGGAGGTGGTGCCCTGTGGGTCCTTCCCAGGAGGCCAGCTCTGGGAAGAGCGTTGTAATGTCACCCCTCCCATACAGCCAGCGTCAACCTCCCAGAGCAAAACCTAGCTTTCGTAGAGTAGAAAATCCTTCAGAATTCAGGGATTAGAAAGCGAAGCAAAGAGGATCTTTATTTCCATGCTGCGGGATGACCTTTAGTTAGTAGAGCTCAGGTTTAAAAAGGCAGAAACGTGACGAGGCAGAGACTGATGGCCCCTCAGGGACAGTGTGAACCTGGCACGATGGGAACCAGACACCCGGGGCGGCTTCCTGAAATCCTGTGGGCTTCCGACTAAGCCCTGGACACATGTGCTGGCCAGGCTGTCCCTGACCACCAGCCAGGAGGCCCAGGCCTTCAGGGGGCAGCAGTGTCCCTGTTTGGAATGTGAGAAGCTCCTGCCATCCCTGGAGATGCCTTTCTTCTAATTTGGGGTGGGGGAGGCAGCTGGGCGACTGGCCAGGGAGGGGCACGGATATGGGGTCAAGGGGAACAGGTCACTGATAAGCGTCCTTCCTAAAGCCATGGCACTGTCAGGCAATGGTTTTAGGTAACAGATTCTTTGCGCTTTAGTCAGACCCTTGTAGTGAAGGTCACCATAGCAACCAAACAAAGTTCCCGGACTAATGATGGGAGCTTTCCAATAACCAGC